GTGGAGGCTCAGGCAGGCTGTATACAAACTACTGCCAGCTGCTCCCTCTCTGTTGGACTTTGTTACTGCATGTTACTTCCACGTTTCAGATCCGGGGCTTTTCATAAAACATCCGGGGCTTCAGCCCAAGTAGCTGGGCCTAACGCCGCCCCTGAGTGAGCTCACCTTGTCTCATCTCCTCAGTGCTTTCTGGAGACAATGAGGGCCCTGCTGCTGCTGCTACTGCGTCTAAAGGGCCATGTGGTTCATGATGTTAAGCTTTGCTAATACTGATATATATTGATATATTAAATACATATGACATGAAATAAACCAGGTTCTCTCTGTGAATGTAATGTACTCTAAATTTTATAATCCCTGCATTATCAGCCAAATTATAAGGTTGTCCGTTTTCAAGATCAAATATAAAGAAATTTAAAATAGGCTTAAAATATCTAACCAAGTCAATAACAATCCTCTAACACCAGTGTCATCATGCTATACGAAAAACAGTGGCAGCTTCCCATTCCTGAGATTACCACGAATCCATCGATACCAAGTTTGTCCTGGTCCATGACTGGGAAGGAGCTGAAATATCCACACAGAGTGAACCTGTTTTTACTGTGAGGTCCGCAAATTAATTGGCGGCAGCCGCCCGCGATAATAATTCTGATTAATATATATATAAATTAATTAGTGTTATCACTGATAACACTAATTAATTTATATTTGATCTTGATGGTGAAACTAAAGGCGTTTAACACTTTCTTTCTTCTTTCGGTCTTTATTTTGGTTTATAGCATTAACATAAAATTTTTCTTTTCAAACAAAACAATATTAACAATTTGAATTTAAACCAAAGAAGGACTAGGCAGAAGCAATGCTTATTTTAGCCTACCCTATTTTCCACCTAATATACATAACCAATATACATTTCTTTTATTTTCCCCAATATAAATATCCACAATGAAAATTCATTAATGTCTATACATACTTTTCGTACCCTGTAAATATGTGACACTTTACACCTGCTTTAAACTTTAGTAAAGAAGTACATTTCTTCAAATCATCATCTAACTCATTCCACAATTTCACACCAACAACAGAAACACATCTTGATTTCACATTAGTTCTGGCTTTTACACATTCAAACATAAATACACCTCTGAGATTATAATGATCATCTCTTGGTTTGAAATAAACTTTTATGCAATTTGGGATATTATTATTAACTACTTTATGAAGAATCTCTAAGATTTTTACTTTAATAATGTCTCCTAATTTTAGCGTTTTCGTTTGACTAAATAGATAATGGGTTGGTTCGAGGTATCCCAATTTATTAACTATTTTAATCGCCTTTTTTTGTAATTTAAATACAGTCTCAACACACGTTTTACCTGCATTTCCCCAAACCTCTGCACAGTAAGACAAATAAGGCATAACTAAAGAGCTATAAATCAAAAACAAGGCTTTTTTATTTAGTATATCAATAGTTTTATAAAGTATAGCAATAGATTTAGACACTTGCTGTTTGATATATTCAATGTGTGGTTTCCAACTGAGTTTACTATCAATAGTCACACCTAGGAATTTAGTTTCATGTACTTGTTCAATTGGGACTCCATTTAAATACAGCTTAGCACCGTCATTGTCCCTTTTCCCTGAAAATATCATAAATTTGGTTTTATTTTCATTTAGTGATAGCTTGTTGTAATCAAACCATTTTTTAACCCTTTGATACATAATGGTCACTACAGTGGACAGGTACTCAAAATTGTTATTTCTTTATTTTTGCTATTAAGCACAGCTGTTGAAGACTTTATTGCATTTGAGCCCCTCCATTTGGACTTCAGTAAGTCAAGCCAACATATTCCATGTTCAGAATGCACGCTGTCCACTGAGATGGACATGTAATAAATTATTTGTAAATTAACAAAATGTTACAAAAAATATTTGTTGAAATTTGTTTCATTCACACCTAAAGATGAATGAAAAAAATTGTTTAAAAAATCTTGGTTGAAGATTTCATAATCCATGCATCAGAGGGTTAATTGAATCCAATTCGTTTTCAACCTCTTGTAATAATTTACTCATATCTTTTCCCATACAAATGAAATTTGTATCATCTGCAAACATAATAAATTTTAACCGAGATGATACAGAAAAGATGTCGTTCAGGTATAGGTTGAATAATTTCGGTCCTAGCACCGAGCCTTGCGGTACACCACATATTACTCTTTCAAGCTGTGAATCTATATCATTAACATTTACATATTGAAATCTACTGCTTAAATAACTTTCAAGCCATTGATTGGTTTTACCACGAAGACCATAGTATTCACATTTCTTGAGCAGGTATATGTGATCAATTGTATCAAATGCCTTACTCAAGTCAATCAAGACAGCCACTACATGAAGTTTTTGATCCACTGCTGTTGCAATCTGCTCTACCAAATCCATAACTGCTAATGAGGTTGAACGATTCTTCCTAAACCCATACTGATGGTCATTTAAAAGATCAAACTTGTTGGTAAATGCTTCAAATCTAATTACAAAAAGTTTCTCAAGTATATTTGAAAACTGTGGCAGTAAAGAGATAGGTCTATAGTTACAAGCTAATAATTTATCACCACTTTAATAAATAGGAATAACTCTGGCTATTTTCATTTTTTCAGGGACTGTGCCACTTGAAAATGATTTATTACAAATATAAGTAAAAGGTTCAATAATGCAATGGATAACCTCCTTCATGAGAGACATATCTATCCCATGAAAATCTAAGGACTTTTTACTTTTGAAACTATGTACCGCTTGGATCACATCACTTTGGCTTACACTGCTCAAAAACATTGTATTATTATTTTTATTTATTTCATGGTTAATGTCAACTTCTGGCAGCTTTTTAGCTAGATTAGGGCCAACATTCACAAAATATTTATTAAACTCATTTGCAATGTTCTTTCCATTTTTATTGTGAATATCTATACCTGCTTTTGTATTTCTTATTAATTTATTTAACACATTCCATGTACCTTTAATATTATTTTTGTGTTTTAGGAAAAGCTGATCATAATATTCCTTTTTTTGCTTCCTTATTATTGTAGTTAATTTGTTTTTATATTCCTTATACCTTTTTTCTTTTTCCTTTGTTGGATTTTTTATAAAATCCAGATACAGTAATTTCTTTTTCTGGCAAGCCCTTTCCAATCCCCTAACAATCCAGGGTGGGGACCTTTTTTTTAAGTTTTGCTTATGATATTTTAGAGGACAATGTCTATCATAAGCTCCCAAAATGAACACTGAACACCTAACATGAATGCAGCTTCTGAGAGCTAGCTAATATCAGCTAAAACTGTGTTCTGCTGCTCACCTTCCTTCTTGAAGAATCTAGTCAATACTTGCTTCTGTTCGATTAACTTTTTCTCCTTCTTTTCTTTTCTGGAAGCCAGATTTCCCTTTCTTGGGAAAAGACATGACTGACTCTCCTGCCTCCAGCTCTGGCTGTCGGCATCTGCGATGTCTCATAGCTGTACATGCGGCAGTGCAGCCCCTGGCCGCTGGTGTGGACTAAACCACTTTGCACATTTTTAAGGGGTGATAGATGCCTCAGAGATTATTCAGTTATTATTTTTAAGGCGAAATTCTGTTTCTTAACCTCTTTATCCAGGTAAAGGGAAGTTTATTAAGACATTAAGTAAGTTGGGGGAAAAAAACAACAACAATAAAACATTTTTATTCAAAGCTGTCTCAGGGCCCCTCCCTGCAGTGGGCCCTGGGTAAACGGTACCCTTTCCCCCCCCAGTCCGACGCCCCTGCCCGTGACGAGGGTACATACAAGAACTCGTGGACCCCTCTTTTTTGAAATTTGGTTTGGAGTGTAATAAAAGGAACGTTAATGCTAGCACTTGGGTATTTGTCTGCTTTTAGTGACCTTTGCTTTTTGGTGACCATGCATGACGTTGGCATGTCTTAAGAGTCGGCACTGTGTGACATGAAGCTGAGAAACCCACAGTGTGTACCGGGCCTAACAGGGAATTGAAAATTATTGATTTAATGACAAAGTTTGAAACAAATGTCTTGCATGAGCTATGAGTGTTTAGAGTATGAGATGGGGGTGACTCCCAGTTTCCACCACATCACATTCTAGCTCAACATCTCGACAAGTGACTGAACTGTAGCCATTTTTGGGTTTGTTAATGCTGGGTTAGCTGTGGTGACCATCACGACTCAGTTGACTAGAAAAGTGAATCATTGTCATTAGGGTCGATCCAATGGTTCGCCGGCTTTTTGGCTTGTTGCAACAGACACTAATAATGCAGGGAAACCTGTGAGCATATGGCGCCGTATTCATCGGGGTCATGGAGTATAACTCTGATTCCTCGTTTCATATTTTAAACAGGCATAATTGTTCTACTTCTCATGCAGCGGTGGTCTGGTTTGGTGGGTCAGGCCAGAGGTCAGACTCATGGATAAACTTGTGTCATATCACCCCAGATGCCTTCAGGCTTACAAATAAAGAAGACACTTTTTGTAACAACAAGAACCCTCTGCGTTAAAGGAGCAGCCAAAGTGTCATGCTACACATATCCACCCTCCCGATGGGTGCCATTCACTTGTCTCGCTGTAACAAAAACCCATGAAAACAACAGTGGCCTTCTAAATAATTGATGTAGTTGGGGGCGACTTAAAAGGGCTGATACAAGCGGGAGTCAGAGCATGTCTGCTGCTTCTTAGACCTTGGCCAGCAGTGTAAAACTGAGATGAAATCAATGGTCAGTGGTGGGGAGAATGAAGAGTGAATTTCCCTAATGGCAGGACAATTACAAGAGCTGTTTAGGCTGACCCCATTCCCCAAGATGGGGATGAGGGGCAGAGACCTGGCTCGCTGGGCTGTGTTCGGCGTGATCGCTGGCAGCTCCTCTGGGAATCTGGCTTCACAAAGCATGCCTGTTTGCTAATGGTGTTGAAAGGGAAAGGGGACAGAAGTAGAAGGGTGAAAGCTGATATCGGTGAGTGACTACCTTGGTGCTGTCCCACTCCTGGGTCTTGATCTGAGTGCGGACCAGCTCGTAGGACGGCTCCATGCTCTCTGTGTTGGGTTTACGATAGCCGGGGATAACGTTGTACAGCTGGAAGCCAAACGTCACCAACCAGCTGTTCACATCTGCAGGGAAAGGGGTTGAAATATTTAGACACACTGCAACAGAGTCTGGTGATTTCATTTAGAAAATCTGACTGGTTGGTGTTTTGTGATTGAAGTGGCTGAAACTACTCAGTCTGGGGCAGCACTTGATTTGTTTGCAGGAGTGGATGAGCTTTCCTAAATACTTGAGATGGCGGTGATGATTCATGTCCACTCCTGCAGATGCCACACTAATGACACACAGCTGGATCCCAGAAACAACACTTAAAAGCCTCAGCTGCTAATTACCAACTGTAATTTCATGTCACCAGAGACTTTGACAGAAGATATTTTTAATACTCGGCGGGTTCCTCTGCAGTAATATTCTTCTAATGAGATGCTGGAAGATGAAAGTGACATCTCCGAGATTCAAATCCATATAATCATGATAATGTGGTTTGTCTACGAGACGCGCTGAGGTTACACGAGCTGCTGCTGTTCACCGCCAATAACTTGAAGGATCATCGAGATGCACGCAAACATGCCAGGAATCAAAACCTGCTCGATCGGAGCTTTTCGACTCAAGCTCTTATTACTAATAGCGGAATCACGGCTTCGACACTTGGACGTGCGTGTGTGTGTGTGTGTGTGTGTGTGTGTGTGTGTGTGTGTGTGTGTGTGTGCGTGTGTGTGACACAAATTGGCACTGCCACATTGAGACACCCGACAAAGCTTCTTTAAACAAGAATGTGTTTGAGGACAACGAAAGGACCCCAGTAATTTAGCGAATGGAATTTAAATGTCAGTGCCATCAATCACAATTGAGAGACCCGCTGCAGTGTGTCTACTACTCTGTTTAGCATTCAGAGCTTCTAATGGAGGAGCTGCTCTGATTGGAGGGTAGTTAAAACATTTTGTGCAATATAAAGAAGTTGAAGGCTGGATGTAACTTAAAAAGTGGCTAATTCTACCCCTCAGTCTTGTCTACAGGTAAAAAATATCATTTTATTCCAAAGCCATCACGTATTGAACTAAATTACATGAGGCAGAACACACACAGGGAATAAAATCACCAATTTTTGAAAGAAACCCAACTGGGACGGATTGCTTTAACTACAGATTATTGACTGAATATCATTAACAGTGTACTTTTGTCTGTTGCAGCAGCAGAAGCGGAACCAGCCAGCCCTGGCTGTGGTTTCTATGGGTGCATTGTGCTCTCTGTCCCCACCGTGGTGCTCTCGCCGCCATTTACCTTCTGCCACAAAGAACACAGAATATTTCTGGGAAGGATCTGAGTGTTCAACAACTGAGTGGGCTTTGCCATAAAGCGCTGCTCCCTTTGAGCAATTTCAAAATGATAGCCACTGGGAACATAGGCAAGAATAAATACATGTGCACACACACACACACACACACACACACACACACACACACACACACACACGCGCGCGCACACACACACACACACACACACACACACACACACACTCAGTAAGGAGGCTCTAAAAACCTACAAGGTATAAGACCTTGCAATTCAATTTTGGTAGGGTCTTTATTTTGAACTGAAGGTTGTTTTTAGAATAACAACACACTAAAAATAATGAAGGTTTGGGTTTTGTGATTGTTTTTCTCAGTTAAATTAGTCTTTTGCCATTTTAGAATAACTCTTTTCAGAGTTTTTTTTTTAGAAAAAGTAATTTCTAAATCTTCGTAAACAATTACAAAAATAAAATCCACCCTCTACATACTTTTAATTGGAATCAGTGAAAGTTTCTGCTGAATAAAAATTATGCAACGGTGCATAGTTGTTCAAGTAGAAGTAGTTTTTGTTATTTCAAATCCAGCTAGGAAAAATATTTGAATCCAAGAAGATTTAAAACTTTGATAACTAGTAGGGATGTAAGAAAATATCACAGAGCATTGATGAAAATGATATTTTATATAGCGCCTCTCAAGATAAAAATTATGAGGCTCCTATTGAGTTTACATGTAAGCAGGTGGCAGCTGTTTTTACCATCTTTATTCTGATGGAATAACGAAATCTCATGAAAACACCGGATGTGTCCATGAAGCATCTGACCTTAGTTTTCTTAGTCTGAGTCTTAAAAGTTTCTAATATCGTATCGTCTCCTCTACAATGAGATATACGTCGTATCGCCACACTCTTGCCCTTACAAACTCCTAATAATGTTAAGTACAATTTAGGAAATCTAAAGGAGATTTTTCTTTCTCTACAGTTATAAGACAGAACGTCATAGTTCCATGATGCAATTCTTACTTTTCTCATTTGGCTTGAAATGAGGTTTTGAATTTAGCCTGTAAAATAAATGCATATAGATATTTACGGCATTGGAATAATCATTCATTTGGGTTATGATGCTTATATCGTCATTACTGTAAAACAGCTGTGGAGCCAAATATCTGCCTCAGTAGAGGCAGATATGTAGAAGCATAAGCTATAGCAGTAGTAGCTCAGGGGCAATAGTGGGTCGGAGGGTTGCAGGATCAGTTCCATCTCCCAGGAGAGAATTCTGCCGATGTGTCCTTGGGCAACACATTTCCCCTCCTCGGCCTGCTGGTGGTGGATGGAGGGACCGTTGGAGCCTGTGTACGGCAGCCTTGTCTCAGTGAGTCAGTGCGCCCCAGGGCAGCTGTGGCTACAATGAAGCTCATCACCACCAGTGTGAATGTGTGTGTGAATGGATGAATGAATCACTGTAATGTAAAGTTCTTTGGAGTCCTCTGACTCTGAAAGGAGCTTTACAAGTGCGGGTGAATTATCATTCATGTGGGCTCTTTCTTTCCCTCCTAGAGTCAATTATTTATTCCCTCTAAAGATTTGGCGCACTGGGAGAACTCACCTGTCATGTAGCACTTTGTCTCTTCGTTATTGCTGAGAGGACTGTTGCTCTTAAACATGTACAGATTGAAGGGAACAATGTGGTTGCTGTTCAGACGTTTCCAAATGTCGTGGTTCGGTGTTGTCCAGCGGCCAGCGAGGACATCGTAATCCCGACGACCCATGTGGACCAGTTTACTCAGAGGTTCGTACAGTCCTCCCTGGTAGCCGATGATGAGCTGCAGGCTGGGGTTGGTGTCGAGGTAAACCTCTCCAAATGCAGTATAAAGGATCTGCTTGATCATGAGGCCCGAACCACTGAAGACAGCCAGAGGTGTGCCGATGTTATCACAAGCCACGTAAAACTCATCCCCACTGCTTAACTCCATGGCAAACAGGTGACCTTGCAGATCGTAGTACAGTGATGTGATCTCTGAGCTAGAGTGATTGTACATATGGGTGACCCGAGTTGGGCTAGACAAGTCGGCATAAAAGAACTGCAGATGGTGGCCTGCGCTGCTTCTACTGGACACTCTCCGGCCCAGGCCATCATAGCGGTATTTGATACTCCATCCAATAACTTTGTTGTACACCTTAATCAACAGTCCAGCTGAGCTGTATTCAAAATAGTCATTCCCTCTCTGCTTAAGAAAACCATCCTCGTCCATCCTGTACTGGACATCCCCCAAACGAGTGATGCGGTCTCTGATATCATAGCGTAGAGGTGTGAGGCGTGCACTGTTTCCAGGACTGAGGAGGTGCAAGTTGCCATTGAGGTCATAGCTGTACCTCCACAAAGCCTTGTCATTGATGGAGACCACCTGGAGTTGACCATCAGCGTCATACTCATAGGTGTAACGTGTGGTGTTGGCATAAGGTCCAACTTTTAGCTCCTTGGCCACCACGCGGCCCATATTATCATACTGCACCATCATCCAGTACATGAGCGAACGGAAAATCTCATACTGGACCTCCTTCACTCGACCGTAGGCGTCAAAGTGCTTCGTGTGGGTCATCACTGCCGTGGTTATAATTTGGTTTATGTCATAATAGATGACACCGAATTTGCCAAACTGCTCGGTTTTCCCCGACACATCATCGTAGCGATACAAGTCTATCGGCAATGGAGTTTCATTGATGACTGCCTGCATGCTGGTGACTCTGAAACTGTTGTCGTAGACATAGTCAAACCTGGCGTTGACCATGCCTTCCTCGCTGAATCTGAAGATCTGCCTGTCAATCAGCGGGCCAATCTGCCGGTAGCGGATTGTGCAGGTGAAACCTTCACTCTGCAGATTAACGGTCTTCAACATTCCAGCCACCTCGTCGTAGAAGAAACCAATGCGCGTGGTGTCATAGAGGATCTCCAGCAGCTTGGACAGCTTTCCATATTTGTAGGTCACCCTGCGGCCTGTGCCCAGGTGGGTAGTCTGCAGTAGCTGTCCATCTTCGCTGTAGTCCTGGAGCACTGATGCGTTCCCTTCAGGGGGTCGGTAGGTGTTTCTGTAGTAGCCAATAGAGCGGGAAGTCTCTAAGGTGTGCCGCGCTACGTTGGGCATGGTCACAGAACTGAGTCGATCATTTCTGTCAAACTCAAAGATATACTGCCTCTGACTGTAGAGCAGCAAGACCATGGACTGTAGAGAGAAGGAGACAGATTCTAATCAAAAGCTGTACTCTGAAGATACACATGACGCTGTTACTACGCTGAAAATAGAAACAAAACACAGAGAAGACATGAAACATGTCAAAGGCTTTAACATATTTTTTCATGCACGGCTGAGTAAAATCAGATCTAGTTTCCGACTTGAAAGAGACGGTGTTTATATTCTTCTAACAAAAAAATGATAAAAGATTTCTTCTGGGCGTTTTTTTTTTAATGTCAGCAGCATGAAAGGGCTAACTCTTAAACTCGCAAATCTGTTTTTCTTTTTAAACAACAAATACCTTCATCACAAGTCTGAGGTTGTCTCATCAAGCTTCTTAAAAGTTATTAAAAAGGTTGACTTAGTGCTGTTTTTAATCAAAATTTCTAAGCTAGAGAATAACAGCTCTTTACCTCCCCCACAACCGTGCCTTCAATTAGCGAGCAGAAAGTGATGTTGCTTGCTGTTCTTTTCATCAGAGCTATTTCTGGTTGAACTTTGCTGTCAGACTATGGTAACAAAAACGGTGTCTGCCTTGCACCAGGCACTGTTAATTATGTTTCAGCTGATATTTGTGCTCCGGTCTTTGACTGTGTGCAGCGCCATCCTATCTGGAGAATTCAATGCGAGTTCATTTAAAAGTCCAACATCAAGTTTCTTAAACAAACAGGGTTTGATCTCTACACGTCTCTATTACATTTCTATATTTGAACAGTGAATCCATCAATAAAGCTTCAATACCTTTTCGAGATAAGTGTAGCTCCACGATTTACCATCGGCAAATATCTGGGAGGTGATTCTGCCGTTCTGGTCGTACTCCATGCGTACGGACATGGTCCCTCTCTGGATACCTGCCACGTGGCCCCCGGGAGAGTACGTGACATTGACTCCGTTCAGGCGACTGCTCGGTGCCCAAAGAGTGGGCCGGCCAGCGTGATCGTAGTGGATCCGTAACGTAAACTTCCTGTGATCATCGTAGACCTTTTCTGTCCTGGTGATTCGATCAAAGTCCAGTGAAAGGAGGTTTCTGTTATGAACCTGTGGGAGACGAAGCGAGCGATTACAAACTTAATATAATGAGTAGAAAACTGGGTTAGAAGAGAATAATTTAAACACAAAACCTTCTTCAGCTGTAGAAGTAATGAAAGTGTAGAAACTGTCACACTGCTTTGTTTGTGGAAAGATTTTGCAGGCAATCTGGGAGTGTTCCATTTCATGCAGGAAACATTACAAACACATTTGTCGTTCAATTTGTTTTCAGCGCTTACTAAAAAACAGCAACTATGATCTTATTTTTGCAGCGATTTCTGCAAATTGCAAAAGGTCGGAGACAAATCTGTTTAGGAACACCTTTCAGGTGACGGTGAAGTTGCTGCTGAGAATAATAACCTCTGACTTCTCTGTGCTCTAACCTGAAAGATATCTGCTCTGAGGAGTGTCGATATTAGTGGGCAGCTCCTTTTGCTGTAAGCAAGAAGATCAATATGAATTTCATCGTTTACCATGAAGTGAGCAGCCTCTGTACAAGGATACTTCAGAGATGAAAGAAAAAAAAACAAGATAAGACAAGCAATGCTGTCTTTATCTAAACCGTTGCTTTACACATTTGTTACAGATGTTTCCTACTGCAATGAACCAAATCGCCTAATGTATTTATTTAAGTATTATGTAACACATTTCCCTCTTAATAATGTTCAAAGATGAGGTCTTTTTTTTAAAAATTGAGCTTAATAAAATGCCCAGTAAGGATTAAAACCGCCAGCGGCTCGAGGAACTGCTTCTGGCAAATTTCCAGATCCATCCCACTGAGCAGGTCAGGCGGGGCTTGTCGAGGAACCTCACATTGAGAAATGCGTGCTTAGGTCTCTCATCTGTGAAGGAACAATTACACCAGAGGCAATTAATGCCACCGATACCCAAATGAGGGGATTACTTTAAGTAAAAACCACGATAGTCGCTAGCAGCAGGAATCCGTGGACATTTAGAACGACCCAAGCTAATTCAGCACAAAAGAATCCCACTGCTGTTTTTCTTTCTTTTTGTTTTAAATGTGTGCATAAATTCACAAAATGATAGTTTTTTTAGTCAGAAACTGTGTTTTAGACTATTTTAGAGCACAAAGGTCAGATTTAAGTTCAGAAAAGTTTCAGAAGCCAGGATATTTCTCGCCAAAGACTCATCTTACATAGGCAAAAAAAAAAAAAAAAAAAAGAAGAGAAAAGTCTGACAGCAGTTATCTCAGAATCCCGTGAGAATGGAAACCCACTCAAGGGGAATAATTTCAAATTGGACGTCACCCCTAAAGGGAATATTTCAAAGAAAGTAGGTGTGTGGGAAGAAAAAAGGGAGTTTTGCAGCAAGCTAGACTTTCACTGATAGATTTCAAACTGTTCTCTGCATGAAACATCACAGCAACGACTCATTCAACTATCAATAGCCAAGATTTTGTGTCAAGTGACAATCTCAATTTATCATCCTACAAAAATGCCTTTATTGTGTTTCTTGTTGTGATGAATTCAGTTCAGCGACTGTTTTCCTCAGATGCAGTTATGTTTCTCTCACAGCTTTAAAAGAAAACACATTCTTTGGTTTTATTTAATCATATTTCTGAACAAACAGCCACACTTGTGACACATTTAGACTGTTAGCCCTCTGATATCAGCTCTGCTTTTTGCTTTGTATTGAGTGATGAAGTGGATAAAGAGCTTTGCTACGGTGCAGCAGCGGCAGCCACGAGGGTTCTCTCATTACTGTAAATTAACAAACTGCTAAACTAAGAGAAGGGATTGTTACCATTGAGGGAATGCTGTTGGTGTGCCTCATGAATGTAAATGATGAAGGTGTCTGGGAGGAGGAGTGCGTGGCAAACAGCGAGCCTACGTCACACCCATCCACTTCTGGACCTTTGGTCCCCTACTACCAAAAAAGTGAATGGGAGTCTATGAGAGGATAAACACTGTTTTCTGATCTCGTTTGATATACGCCGTGGGTTTAACATCTGAGGTCCATGACTTTTAAAGACACATTTTGATGCCAAAAAAGCGCTTATTCTTGACAGATGGCAAAAGTTACCTTAGGTTTTGAGTGAAAAGACGTATAGGACTACAAATTCTCATCTCACAAAATTTACATCATCGAACCAGAAAAGGACACGATGAGAAAAATGGCTGTGAGTTTAGGGAGGTGGAGCATTAAACATGAAGAACACCACTATAAACTTGGAGAAAACCACTAAAGATCTACCATGTGGTACGTTTCAGTGACGCTTGGGGAGAAGAGTCTGATTTGTAGTTTTTCTAATTACAAATTTTTACAAGCAAATACATCTCAAATTACATGTCAGAAATAGTCAAAACACAAATAATTATCCATTTAAAAGCATATTTTACAGTAGCTATAAACAGATTGCAAATGAACGTCACAATGCATTGTGGGACGTTGCTCTAGACAAGCATGCGTGTGTTTTGCATGGGTGCCCATGGGTAAGAGTCCCTCCGCTAATCTCAAAGTTGTATTTTCTTCTCCTAAAGATGTTCAACCAGGAAGGAAGTTAGCACCTCTGTTAGAGGAGGTGCTAATCAGACTCAACAGACCTAGATCTGGTGTCAAGAGGGGACATTTTTTATTCTTTTTCCAAAGCTGGGTAAGGTCAGCAACAACATGAAACAGCTGGAAACAGGCCAAGCTAAAGACAGACAAAGCAAAGCGGTGGCAGTATATAGGTGGAAAAGCAGATTTTCATAGCGTGGAGCAGATCATGTGTGCGAATATTTGTTCCATACAATTTGCCGATGGGAAAGGCCCTACGTCCGAAACTAGTAACGCTCTCAGCGGCATAAATGAAGGTGTCCAGCTGAATGTCTCGGCCAAACAGCGTCCAAATGTGGACGAAAAAGGTGGTTATGTAAAAAGTTGTGACACAAAAACTAACCTAAGAGCAAAAAAATAGCTTAGAGAAAATGTTACTTGAGCACCGTGAGTCATGAGTTGCTGTTTGAGCATGAACATTTAAATATGGTGTCTGTCGGGTTGTTTTTATTGACGCCTAAGCAGTCTGTCTGCGTAATTTCAATTAAATATTAATTAAATATGATTTGTTTGTCTAGCATTAGCACCTAGCAGCGCTAGCGCAATGACATCAACAGTAGAATATAGGAATGTCCCATTCCGATATCAGAAATAATTCAACATCGACCCAAAAACTGTGTATCGGATTATATCTGACGGCATCAAAATTTCCGATAAACCGTCCATTAAGGTTCACATTTTTGCAACCAATTGGTTATAAAAAAATTGTCCTTTTTTTCATACTTACTATTATTGGTTTTTGTTCTCTGACTGAGTAACATCACTTGATCAAGCCTTTCTTACATTCCACACTACGAAACAGGTAAAAGTATGCATGATTTGTGCTGATTTCATATCGGATATAAGTATCGGTCAGTACTGAAGGCTGCAATATTGGTATCGTATCGGAAGTGAAAAAGTTGTATTGGGACATCCCCAGTAGAATATGCTATTGTGTGATTCAGGGCGTGTGCCCCATATTATTATTATTATTATTATTTTCGCTCATGGGACCCATGAGCCAACTGGAAGGGGAGGAGACTTGGGCTCCATATAAGAAAAAAAGGAACCAGACTGTTTTCTATTTAGAATTATACCCCAGAAAAGGAACAATAAACACATTCTGGTGCAGTTCAGCTGGGTGGTAAAGAAACAAACTCAGACAGCAGCGGTCTGCTTTCCTCTGTCTCCTCCACTCATAACAACTAAGACCTGTGAAGTCTCAGCTGCATCTCTGTTTTGTATCTAATACACCCTCTACACACACACACACACACACACACACACACACACACACACACACACACACACACACACCCCTCCAGCCCAACACTACCACGCTCTCACCCATCCACCCACGTAATATCAGTTGACATGTCACTCAAGGTCGCTCGATGACTCCAGCTCTATTCAGCCCCTCTGTTCTTGCCATCAGGGCTGCTCCCATTTCCCATCTCACCCCTGGGGCCATTGTCTGTAACATACATTAGACGCTTTCACTTCCAAAAGGGACGACAAGGCCATTAAATGAACAGCCAGTGACAGACAAAGTGGCACCTCCTCATTAGCCGTGTTGCCTTCCAGAAAACGGAGAAGACAACTTAACTAAAGTTGCTATTTGTTTCACACAACCGAGAAAAATAACAAAAGGACATTTTTTATTCATCAGTAGTTAACGTGTCATTCCAGATGCTTTTAATTTGGTGTTTATCGTATTAAAAAGAGACCTGTTGCATCACCCTTTACCTCTCAATGTCTGTAAATTTGTTTTACCATGTTGACCAGAAATTATTTTCAATTTAGGTGATATTTTTATTCAAATTTTCAGTAGTGGAGATTTAGTACTGATGCATATATCCTTGGGCAAAGCTGAAACCCCCCCAATCACTCTGAATACAGTATAGGTGTGCAATAGAAAAGAAGTGGTGCATAAAGAAAAAATAAAATAAAATAGGAGCTCTGTGTGATGTTTTTATTATGAACTGTAACACCGTAATGTAATGATCACTGCTCCCTACGGGAAGGAGACGTTTCACCAGTGTGTCACTAATGGGACTTTAGCTGTAATAAAAGCCTCAAAACACTTTTTAATTTTGCCTTTCAGGATCCAGCTCAAGAATAAAAACCATTATATACAGGTGCTGGCCAGTAAATTAGAATATCATCAAAAGGTTGAAAATATTTCAGTAATTCCATTCAAAACGTGAAACTTGTACATTATATTCATGCAATGCACACAGACCAATGTATTTCCGATGTTTATTACGTTTAATTTTGATATTTATAGGTGACAACCAATGAAAACATCAAATCTGGTATCTCAGAAAATTAGAATATTCTAAAGGCCAATGAAAAAATGTTTGTTTCTCTAATGTTGGCCAACTGAAAAGAATGAACATGAAAAGAATGTGCATGTATAGCACTCAATACTTAGTCGGGGCTCCTTTTGCCTCAATAACTGCAGTAATGCG